TAGTGACCTCCACTATAGGATATAGTAGTAGTAGTATTTTAGTTCATAGATTGATGTTTACGTGAAATGATATGTCTCTCGACGCACCCACGCCACAGAAGAAAATTCTAATTTCAAGCAGGGTTATTTTAAAATGGTTTATAAATAGCCAAAACTATAAGCTATAAATATATCTCTATCTTCAACCGTTAAGCCTTATTGTAAGTAAATCTAAGATTAAGTAACTTCTGAAGACTAATGGGGAGCTTAAGAGCTACAAAACGGAGACTTGTGCAGTCATTAGTAAACTAATGAAAGATCAATATACTCTAAGATTAAGCCGTACGTACCTACGTTCGTAATTCTATGTTATGTTAGTGGTACTTTGTAAGCGCCTATTGGATATTGTAGATGTTATTGTGTATTTAAATTCATTGCTAAGTACTACTATTACTATTACTATTTGGAACCTACTATCTGAGTCAATCCTTAATGTAGATATTTTTTGGACAAGCCTGAGAATTTTATTTAATAACTAATTTATGTTTTTTCAAATATGTTTTAAATCATTTTTTTTTCTTTAAATAATTTTCTTGCAGTGTGCCTACTGTTTTTAATATATTTATAATTTTAATTTGGTCTTAGCTGTTAACTATTTTGGCACTATTCGTGTGACACGACACGTGTGAAGTGGCTCAATGTTACTATTTTTCTGCTAAAATTGTATAATGTAGCTGTTGATTCACCATTTATTAAATAAATAAATAAACATACTAATGTTTAACACGCTTCGCCCATGTCTTCATTAGCTTTTGTTATCCAGTTCGATGCTGCGAACTTCTTCATATCATCTTACCAGCTAATCTGTGTCTTTCTGATAGGCGCTCAATAGGTATTCCATGACTTCTACTCTCCTCAAGAATTGTCTTCACGGGCAATATATCCTTTATACTTAAATTTTAGGTATGCTATTCTTTACAATAATACACCTAACGGTGAAAGTTTGAATATTGAGTTAAAAAATTGGGCATACATTCACTCTGAGCTGGTTGGGTTATGGAGCTATTTAATTAACTGTAGAAAAATAAGCTCTTGTAAAGTAAGAAACACTGATTGCGTGTCATATATTCCCATATCATCAGCCCCGTCCATAGCTAGGCCTTGCAAACTAGCTGCATACTTCCAAACACTCCTCCAAATTATTTTTTTCCTGTAAGTATTTTTTCTTTATGCCTCCTCTTCAAAACGTCTTCTACCATAAAACTATATAAATAGTTCTCCGACAGATTTGACTGGCCCAATTCTCTTTACCTTACGAATTCTTTGGATATGTTAACAACCATTAGGTTTTCATTAGGAAGTAAATACTCATTCACAACAAAACAATTAGCAAATAACTTTCTAATTTATTACATCTGCATAACAATAAAATATGTTGGCACATCGCACGTTTCATTAAGTAGGTACAGTTTGTTCATATTTAACTGTGATTTTATGTTTATGTGTATGAAATTGGAACAATGTTTCATTACAAATGCCATTATTTCAGTGCCCGATGCAAGTGACTGTTTTATGAAGCATTTAACTTTCGTCCGTATTGTCGGAAATATCTCTTGATTAGTTTCAATTTAGTTGCGTTTCTTTGGTTCTAAAGTAGGGTACATATTGGGACGGTCGCCAACCCGCTGCGTCTCGGCGCTCTCAGGATATTGGATTACTAGTTCTTAGTATCAGTTTGCTTGGTAATAATTAGTCGGATTCTTTGTTGTTATAATAAGAATATTTATCTACATCATCTAATGTTTAGGAGCTCTGCTTTAAAAATTGTCGACGGATATATTATATTCCTTGGACAGCTGGTCCAGTTGGGTAGGTTCAATTTCTAGGAGAGTAATTGTCAAGTAGGGCAGCGTTCGGGAAACTATCTAACGTCTTTTCTTCCAACATTCATGTAAAGTGAATGAAGATTTTTATTCTATTTTTGTTGCAATGCTTGAAGTTTTGCGAAAAAGATGTGTAAATGCAGCAATAATCATTTTGTGTTTCTTTTTCTTTTACTTTTGTGCCTATAAAACGTATACATATAATACCTAAGAAGAGAATTGAGTAGTGTGATTTTTTTTGTACCGTATAATTCAATAAATAAAATATACCTAATTGCCTTAAGGCGAAAATCAATCCAGTGATGATCTGCGTAACTGAAACGTGGTCTCTCACTGTAGGTGCTTTTTACCTTTTTGGAGGTATGAGGAACAGGGTGGAAAGTCCCTCATCCTCCATTGAAAAGGGAGGATCCTCCGACCAGGCGAGGTGTTCGTGCCTGGTGGGCTACTGCCCGATGGTTGTTGTCGGGATTTTTGTATCAGTGCTAATTGTGTGGAAAACTCTTATAGCGCGATGTAGGCACTTGCACGTGATTGGTGCTGTTGTTTATGTAGTGCGCTAGATGTCGCTACAACCTTTTTGGAGATATTAAGGTTGGGAAATTAGGATTTGGGAAAACCGCGGGAAAGGACTTGGCTTCACTCACCTCACACGAGGAAAAACAAGTCAAGAATGAGCACACCGGCTTCCTGTGAGGTTCTGGCTTTATTAAGTTCGAGATTACCATGGGACTCTTACATTTTTAATTCAAATGGCTCAGGATATAAATCCACGTAATAAAAATTCAACTGTACCGTGCATTTGTAGTCACATATACCCTATTAAAGCCAATTCGCTTAATTAGAAGACGTTTTATCAAGTTGAGTAGGTACCTAACAGGTAATATAAAGGGGTAAAAGACGGCTCTAGGCAGCTATTTCCAATAAATACTTTGAAACGAGATTGTTTCATTACAAAGAGAAATATCGACCATTTTGTTTTGTATTTTATTGCACTCTTTGTTTCTCAAGCATTTGTTTTGTTTCAACATTGTATTACGATTTGAAATGAAATTGGCTTTAAGAGTGTTTGTTCAAGTTGAAGACTTGAAGAGAAAAATATATTGTGATTTCCATTTGAAGAATACGTTTAAAACGCAATTATTTCTTTTGTGAGAATTCTTGAAGAGTTTACGCTTTAAGTCTGCAAAGAGTGTTTAGATCTTTATAGACTAGGTATTAAAATTAAAAGATACTTTTAGTTTTTTGGCTTCCAACCAATAGGGGTAACTTTCACCATGAGTAGGTATTAAGTGTTTAGGATCTCATGTCACGTTACATGTATCTGTTCTACCTATACGATGTTGTAAAGCTAAAGAGTTTCAATGTGCTAATTGGGTAGTTTCCTAAATTAATTCGACGTTTCAATACAATAAAATATTAAAAAATAACTATACTTTCATTTCATTTTTTAGCTAATTTTTAGTAAGCTATTTGACGTAAAAATACTATGACGTCATAAGTATCAGTATTTCATACAAGTTTCATAGAAAAGTATCGTTTTCGACATTTGGATAAAAGTATTGAATTTGACTACTTAGTTGGAAACTATTGTATTTAAGGAACTTATTTTAATATTGTCGATTAAAGGAAAAATTTAAGTATTGGAGAGTACCTACTTTTAGCGAGAAAAGCTTTAGGCAAAATAATATCATGGTTCATACATTACTAAACAAAACTTTAAAATTAAATAACCGTACAATTCTAACTTGACTGTCACGCTTGAATAAGAGAATGTGAGTTTTTAATGTCTACATAATACCTAATTTACGCAATCAGGTTAATTTTTTAATAAGTATTATTATCTTAGGTAAAACAATATTGCTTAGTATGCCACCTACTTAGTAACTAATATTTTTACAAAGAGATAATACGGTCATAGACAGACATAAGAGAAATATTAATAACAAGAATAAATCCCTTGTGCCCTTGACTACGCTGGATGTAAGAACCAAAGACCCATCATTTTCGTGAAGGCTGTTATATTATACGGATTAGGCACAAGATTATAAGTACAAGTAAATAAGAACAATGAAGCTAATACTTCATATATTTTTGGTGTTAATAGGCTGGAGAAAATATATAATAAACAAAGTAAGAAGTTTCATTAATATTATCAGATTAAGAACAACGTAGCGTGATGTTTTATAGCCTATCAGCACTCAGGAACCTTGTAGCTATATATTAGTGAAAGAATTTTGGCAATCCGACCAGCGGTTCCAAAGATTACCCCCTACATACAAATGTACAAATGTTACCTTTTTATAATATTAGTTTTACGAGAGATCTACATCTCTGCGTTAAATATTTACACGTATTTATCCTTTTGTACTTAATGAGAATGGTAAGAAAATACAAATAAATTGATCCGATACGTCAATATCATGTTTTATCGCCGCATCTAACGTAATTGCCCTAATTAAGTGTGAAGCTTGTAACACAAGACCGCTGTTAATTTGATATTGACATTATGGAACAGACGATACTTAATAATTTATTTTATTTTTATGTGTTGTATTAAATTGATCAAACTTTGTTAGTTTATTAAAGTGTAAAAAGTTTTTTTATTATCAGGTTATAATACAAATATATTTGACAAAGGAGCGCTATGAGGACTGAGCGCTATGTCGAAGTCGTCATAGTGCCTCAACTACATCAATAAATGCCCTCAAAAGTATCAAGTTTTTTAATTTACATTTTTTAATTTCTCTACTTCATCACGATAGTACTATTACTTCACTCCATGTGTCATCTACGAAGTTCACTTTAGTTTATGAGACAAAATACTATCTTCAATTAAAATACAAGTCATAAAACATATATTTAAAAGCGCTACCCGTGGACATCAGCCATACCAGCAACCGTTACACAAAAATAATCCTTATAGCATGATTCAACTGCTAAGCTATCAGGAAGTCCAAAGACAGTTCATCACTTGACGCAATAATCAATAATTAAAAAAAAAACTGTCTTTATAAGGTGTTGAAAGTTTATTGCCAGCCATGTGGGATGATGATTATGATATTGAGGAGGCGAGGGCTAAAGATATATAAAAAAAGTTATACAAACAATAAGTTCCATAAAAAAATGTGTACTTACATAATCACTATTATCGAACTCCAGCCTCAACACCGCCACGTAGTAGTTGCCCTCCATGCTTTCCTTTACCACGGAAACCTTAAGCTTCAGAGAAAATAGATCTTCAGCTATTTCGTATAGTTGACCTGAAACGTTGCATGGTTATATTAATATTTAGAGGGTTGGGTAATTTTTATTCAATTAAAATTTAAAAAGGGGTAAAATTGTTCAAAAGGTTTTTGAGGGTTAGGGTTCACGGCTAGAGATGATTCCTGCCACCAATCTTTAAACCGAGTACCGATATTTGTTTTATTAAACCCCTATCTTAGAAGAACCATTACCATTATTCAGTATTAAAGGTTGGAAATGTACAAAGAACTGACTTTGTAGTCCCGAAGTTCTCAAGTTTTAACTTCTGCACGGGTTTCTATGAAGTAAAGTTTACAATTCAAGTAAAAACCATGGATACTATTTAACATCGAAAATTTAACATTGCCTCTTCCTGTCTCTCTAAATTCTGGCGTCTGCGATACCTAAATGTTCCTAGTTTGTTTTGCGAGCATGATATGCATTGTTTGTAAGATCTAAGTTAAAATCGGTTCATTAGTTTTTCCCTAAACTTTAAATAACTGCTGAATTGGAAAGACGGATGGACGGAAAAAGTTCTATCTTCTGTTCACCTTACCCATAAGATAATGTGTAAACCCAGTCCTTCCACTGCTGTACACTAGCTCGGCGCCGTGCCTGTGCGCACGAGTCAGCTGCATGCTGGGAGAGCGCATGCGCGGGAATGTGAAGCGCATGCGCTGGTGAATGTTGTCCACTGATTGCAGAAACGTGCAGAAGTAGCGTCCGGTCGCACGTATCATTTTGTCGTAACTGGTGAAAATTACGTAATGTCTAAGTTTACAGGTTTTTCTGATATAATGTTATAACAAAGGTATAAAATTGTAGGAACAGTATGCCTACCATTAAGTGTTAAAGCGTGAATCTTCCTGGTGAGAAAGAGGGAACTATAATAGGTGTATAGCCCCATCCCTCTTTCTCGCCCGAAAGATTCACGCTTTAACACGTCATGGTAGGCCCTCTGTTAGTTTATTCAAACTCAATTTCAAATTAACGCCGAATGGGTCGGTTCTATTGAAATGATGACGGCTTCACAGTAAACAGGCAACCAAAGCGGTGTGTTTAGCTATGTGAGTGAGGTTACGAGCTGCCCAAAAAAATCCTACCCCATCCCCCGCCAATCCCTAAATCCACGAAACCTTAATGCCCAAAATGCCGGCAACGCATTTATTACTCCTCTGGTGTTGCGGGTGCCTATGGGCGGTGCTGCTTACTTACCATAAGCTAATACCATACCATAAGGCCATTTACGAGTTTGCCGTCCTATCATACAGAAAAGAAAAAATGTATTGTACAAGTTTTATATTTTTAGAATACACATTTGTGGAACTCAACTACTGAGGAAAAAATTTAAGTTTCGTTAACTTGTACCCTCTTCTTGTTCCTTTTCGCCCTAAACAGATATTGTGTGTCCTTTATCCATTTCCACTAGCAAGATACTCTTTCACTTCGGGTCCGTAACATTTGATTGACAGCTTGTTGATAGGCATTGACGCGAACCAGAAAACAACAGAATAAGAAAGTGTACATCAAAAAATGAAACTGGGTTGAGAAATGTTCTTCATAACTTTTGGAATCTCTCTTTGATCTGGATAGTTATTTAAATAACGAGTATTTTTAACCAAACACTTACACATTTTACCTTTTTCTTTTTTCGATTTTATTGTATTAAGAGCTAGGATAAACACGAGTAACCTATATATAGGCTCTACCTTTATTTTTCTCAGCGAAAATTTGGTATTATAATCAAACATTTGAAAGTAAAATATTAGTTATTTATTGGTTTTATTAGCTTTCCTCAACAATATTGCTCGGTATACCTACCGCCCTTACTAATATAAACAAGTAATGAAAACAAAATTTAGATTGCCTATTTTATGACGTTCAGGAGTAGGCAGTATTAAAAAAGTTATCGTGGCCTAAGTACTTTTTATCCCTTCGTAAAACTTACCCATAGTTACTGAAGAACTTGACAAAACACCTTCCAAAAAAGTGCATCACCTTCTCAGGAGTCCCGAATTTTTCTCTCATGTTGTTCAGTTTATCTTCGCTAACAACACTAAGGCTGTTCAAACGAGGTCGCGGGGGAATCATGGACCCACGACGTTTGTACACATCTAGAGCAACAGTGCAACTAGTTTTACGAGCTGAGGACTTGAGAATAGAGTTCCTTTTAGCAGTTTCATTTTCTGGCGAAGCTGGTTCAGAAACTGGCATCTCAATTTGGTTGGTTGATGTGTCAACAGTAGACGCTTCAGGTTCGTCGTTTTCATTTGAATCAGGTATTTCTGTCTGGCTTGTTTCTGGTATGGGCTCTTCAACTGTCTCCTTCACTTTGTGATTTTCGAATTTGATACCCAAACTTCTTCTATGGAACTCTCTGGCGACAATCTCAGCTTCTTCATTGATTCTAACTTCATTGATTTTGCCCGTAGACGCGGCCACGGGTGATCTTATTTCTTCTGACGATTTGTAAGCCTCTATTTCTTTTTTGGTGACATTTTTTAAGGCATTTGTTGCTGTGAATGGACATTTGTAACTCTGCGATCTATTGTCGGTGTGGACTGAAGCGCTTCGCCAGCTTGGCTTTGCTTTTATTGACTGTTTTCTGGGAGCTGGACTGCTTGGTCTCGAGGGAGCAGGACTGTTCGCATCTCTGGATATCAATCGAGCGAGAGCACTTGCAAGACGCAGCATCAATGCATCTGGATATTGCTAATAACAAAAAAGTATGAAATTTGAAAAAAGTAAGCTAATAATAACAATGAATGTCGTTGTTATAACTGGGTTGGTTGTACCTGCATAGCACTGAAGGCAGTATTCCTGGCTCCAGACTCTCGGAGTATGGTTTCCCATATTTCCTCCCCACATTCTTCCTGCAAACAAGACATAAGCATAATTTATCTCATATAGCAATTCAGTAGCAATAGTACTGTGTTGTAATAGTTTAATGTATTTATGTTCACCAATTATGGTTGGTACGGGTCTAACTATTGCTTATTATTCTCTGAACGTAGTTAATGGTCTGTTGATATTAATTTCGTAACAAAGCGTGTGACGCGATGTCCATTGCGACCATTCTGTTTGCAACGGTGCGGTGACGACGAAGCAGCTGTGATTTAAGTTGGTAGCCAAAATATTTGTTGCTTGCCATATTGTATTATATCAAGTGTAACTTTGTCTTGAATTAGTTGGGAAAAGCTGGGGTAGCCGCAGTACAAAGATTTATTAAGAAAACTTGTTAGATAACACCTATTTCTAACTTCTCGCAAAATTGAGAAATTAGTTTCAGTTGTGCTATTACTTTTTGAGCAGAAATCAAAAAAAGAACAAGGATAATAATTCTGATATTTTATCATATCATTCAGCCTATTATAACAAGGAGAACGCTTGATCATTATTAAATCAAAACGCTCGGGAATCCTAACTTACAATAAGAAATTATAAGTCCAGATTTCCCGACGATGGTTTCCATCATCGTCAGTGGTGTCTACATAATCATTGAAAGTACATATAACTCGGAAAAAGTTACATTTGAACTTGCCAGGTTTCAAACCCGCACTTTCATGCTTGAGGAGCCGGCCTTAAACTCCGGGCCACCACGACAGTTTACACAAACAGACAGTAGTACTGTATACGATGTATTGAGAATTTAATATGAATACAGACATAACAAAATTGACCTTTACTAGAAAACAAACTGTCAAGAAATCTTAAAACAATGGACGATTCGCCATTTGTCTTAGCTGAACATTTCTTAGCCTTTGACTAGATAAATCTCCAGACGTTTTAATTGTTACAAAGATTTGAAATTCTTTCGTGAAGTTCATTTGTATTCACGGTGACATTCTCATCTTAAGTGGAAATAGTATTAAAATAGGTTTTTTTTGAGACGAAAATAGCGTATTTCTGAAAATATCTTGGCCAACTAAGCAGTAGACTATGAAGTAGGTAATTTTGTTATATAACTTTCGTGCTGGTTCAAAATATTTAGTATTATGGCTAAATATAAAGCTGACTGACCAAGGAGGTTAACTAACCAGGTACATTGAAGTCCAGGAGAAGAGCAATCAAATCTTGCTCAAATTTAAAAGAAGCCCTTTTGTATTTGAGTGACTTTAAAAAGGTAACTACTTATCCATTTTAAAATTGGAATCCTTTCCATTTGTAGAATGCTGTTGACAATGTTATTTGACAGGAAAGATACACAAGGGCCTACTCACTTCCATTATTCCACATCACTGCTAACCGAATACAAACTAATGTTATTTATATGTTGATACTCTTTTATGTGTCAGTGGGCACAGAACAAACATCCGGGGTTGGATTTTTATACTATTCTGTTATATAACCAGTTATTGCTCGCGGTTTTGCAACTTTTCAACCCAACTCTACCCTAACTTATCTATCTACTGTAAGCTACCTACCTACCTTTCGACCACCTACCTTACCTTAACCATCGACTCTACCTTCATCATCATCAGCCTATAAGTGCCCACAGCAATGCTAAGCAAAGGCTTCTTCTCACACGGAGATGGTTAGAGCATTAATCACCATGCTTGCTCAATGTAGGTTGGCGATTTCAAATTTATAATTAGAAATTATAAGTCCAGGTTTCCTCACGATGTTTAGCTTCACATGTATATGCCATAGGGAAGATGCACAGACAGAGGCTCGGAGCTGGTGTGTCTAATATACTTGATACTCCTTGTAGGTGATAGCTACGAGGGTAATAAGGTAGGTACTGAGGTTGCCTTAGTGAGATGAAAATTCCATTATCCTCACTAAAACAACCTTACAAGTCTTTATTCTGGGAACTTTTCTCTCGCCATCAAAAAAGACTTTATCATAGAACTGATTCATATTATACTTTAACAGCGCGATGAAAATCACTCTTTAGTACGTGGATAAACTCTCCAATTATACAACTTTAACTTGCATACACAAATTCATGACAGATCGGATAATTATTTATATTAATTTGGAACTTCTTTGTGAAGTTTAAATTACAACTTGATGCCACGGTGACCCTACACCGTGAATCTGCTTACGTAGGTTTACAGTAACTTACTTTATTTGAAGCGATCGGATCTTAGTCCTAAGATTCTTGGGAAAGCATGATTTCAATTTTATATAAGAAAGGATAGAAACTAAATTAATTAAAAAATACATAAAGATCATACAATATTGGAGATATGAAACGTCATGGGGTGTTAAATCGATTGAAGCGCCCTCTGCGTCAGTGTGTGGGCTATTAATTAATTGCTACCCTACGGTTATCGTTCCATACAGATAATTAAGTGACGTTGATATCCGTCACGCGTATCAGGTTAAGGGAAAAGTAATAAAATAGTGTTTTAGTTATTGTGATACATGACAGTTTGTTATAGTATATGACTATTTTGCAAGCTTGCTAAAAGGGTTTTAGATTCTAGTATTGCTATACACTAAGACACTGTAAAATGTCTGTAAAGCCACGTCGTAGGTACCAGATAAACTCGAATATTTAAAATATAATGTAGTTAACAAAAAGCAAACATATTTAAAAGGGTATTATTAACGGATATAAAATGACACAAGAGAATAATAACGAATTACATAAATGTGAATACATTTTTTTCATGTAATAGTTCGGCAAACGAGCAATCGTATTACCTGATTGGGGAGGGATTAGGGTTCACAACGCTGTGGTTGTTTCACGCCGGTTTTCTGTAAGGCCGTAGTATAACTCTGGTCGAGACGACCATTCGTGCCGAAGCATGGCTCTCCCACACTTGGCATGGCTCTCTCACACTTACATAGTAGAATGGACCGACCTGGTTGGCGTAGTGGCTCGACAAATTCTCTCTACAAAGTGTTGTTCTCAAATTTTATTATGTGTGTATAACATATTTGTAAAGACAGGGAATAATATTTATGTACATCATTCCTGAAAAATAAGCCAATAATACACATGGTATCTACGTAATCTGGTTTTATAAGGTTCACCCTTTAGGCCTGCCTCAATATTCTTGTTCAAGTCATAAATGTGACTTGAATGGGTAACAAGACCTGTTACTAGGGATAAAGAGCTTAGTACAGACTTTTTGTGTTGCAAGCCCGGGATGTAATATGTCTGGAAGAGATATTAAGGTACTTTTGCGTATGTACTTTAATAAAAAATAAAAAATAAGTAACATTGCGCTTGTTCTGTAGTGAAGGAGTCGGCAAGTTCTTGTAAAAACAATGTTACATAGATACTAACGTATCTATTAGACTTTATCCAAACTAATATTATAAATTCGAAAGTAACTCTGTCTGTCTGTCTTTGCTTCACGCCTAAACTACGGGACTTATTTGTGTGAAATTTGGCACAGACATAGTTTGGAACTCCAGAAAGGACATAAGATAGTTTTTTAACCAAAAATCTACAGAAAGTCACTATTCCACGCGAACAAAGTCGCGGGCAAAAGCTACTAATTAATTCTTAACTAATCACATACAACCAGACTACGTATTAATTACAAGTAACTTCTGCGCCACGTGTCACGGTTTCGAATTTAGCACAGAACAAATCTTTCTTTGACACACAAATTATTGTGTCTGGGTGACCTGGGGATTTTGGAGAGAAAATCAAAATTTTGGGGCAAGTCAGATGGAGCCGAGCAGCGAGTGAAACCGCGCGAGAGTAGCTAGTATACAATAAACATGCAGAAAAAACCTGAGTAGATAATTGTCCCTAAGAAGGCTCCTTACATTACAACCGTAAGTGCTTCGGTACTTCTAAGAGAAAAGCTAATGCCCATCGCCCGCAAATACGGGTACAGTTGTGGCCAAAATTTAAAAATCGAAGAACAAATGAATTCTATACAGCCAGCCACGTTATTTATTTATTTGGGATATGTCGGTAAATGAGCAGACGGATTACCTGATGGTAAGTAATCGGTGCTGCCCATGGAAACCCACAACACGCAAGGAGTTACGAGTGCGTTGCTGGCCTTTTCGGGATAAGGGTATAAGATACTTTAGGATCGGAAAGTAGGGAAAGGGGTAGAGTAACTTCACTAACACGGCGGAACACAACGCAGTGGTTGTTTCACGCTGATTTTCAGTGAGGCCGTGGTATTACGCCGGTCGAGCCGTTATTTGGCTTGCGGTTAAGAAAATAAAGACTGAGCTCTTTACCGTTTGTTTAAAAATCTGAAGTTACATTAACCACTAATTAGCAATATGTAATTTTATTGTTAGCTATGGAAGTATAAGTTTTAGTAACAAATTACTAAACCTTTTATAGAAGAAGGCATCAAAACAAAATAAAATAGTACTTAGTAAGATATCTTTTATTTGTTTTTCCTTCCCGTGTCGTAAAATGTATTCGAGAATGAAGGGATTATAGTGGAGAGGGAGCCACTTTCTATTTGATTTGTTTACCACAGAATAGGAAGATAATATATACAGACAGACATGTAGTTTTTATAGCCAATCGAGGGAATGAAATAGTAGTTAATTAAGTAGGTTTTATTAACAGTTATTTCGAATGCTGGTATGAAAACAAAGAAATATTCACAACAGAGATTGTACCTAATCATTTATTGGCTACTGAGCCGACCAATAATGGTAAGAAAAGATATGGGTTCTACTAACCTATGTCTGTGTATTGACTCAATTTTAATTTTGACTGTACCTGTCTTGACTGTAAGTACCTACATCAAAGTTTCACGTGGTGGCCCGGAGGTTAAGGGGCACGCTTCTCATGCAAGAGGTGCGGTTTAGAAACCTGGCAAGTACCATTGTAATTATTTCCGAGTTATATTTTTTTTATGTAAGTTTGTAGGTCGGCAAACTGCCAGTCACGCCGCCCATGGACTACCGCAGCGGAGAAGTTACGAGTGCGTTGCCGACCTTTTAGGGATTAGGATTTTGAAGATTTTGGGATTGGGGGAGGGGAAGGATTGGGCCTCCGATAACCTCACTCACACCGCGAAACACAACGCTGTGGTTGTTTCACGCCGGTTTTCTGCGAGGCCGTGGTATCACTCCGGTCGAGCCGACCCATTCGTGCTGAAGCATGGCTCTCCCACACTTGTACACAATATATGTACTTTATTATTTTATTTACGGTGAGGGAAAACATCGTGAAGAAATATGGACTCATAAGTTTAAAATCGTCAATTCACCTTGAGCAAGCGTAGTGATTAATGCTCAAACCTTCTTACTGTGAAAAGAGGCCTTTGCTCAGAAGTAGGCACTTATAGGCCTGTGATAATGATGATATACTTCAACGTGTAGAAATATAAAACTATATTTTCTGAGATTCTCGGATTAAAGAACAATTGCCTTACACCTTATCTTTAAGACACCACTAAAAAGTTTCCTGTATATTATGTATCTGGATAAGATTGCTAAGCCGTTTAAATTCTAGTTTGTACCTTCTTGTTCTTCTTCTTAATTGCCATATTAAAATTAACCAACAAGAAAATATATGTTTATTATTAAATAAAGCTTACCACAATGAAATGCTGGACGCTCTCCAGTAGCCATCCATACATCTTGAAGATCCCAATTAAACAAATGAATCTAAAAAAAAATATCTAGAAATACCTAATCTATTATAAACCTTAAATTGGTGGTGATAAAGTTAATCTTTTGGTGATTTTTAGGACAGTTAATGACACTGAGTAATGGTTCGAAAAGTTACTCTTAACACTGCTACCGCCACCGTTTATTTACGACCTTTGCAACCTTGGGTCGCGTTTACCCGGCAAGGCTTTCGCGGGACTACTGAACGGATAAGGGGCGAACGAGTACTTACTTATTATTCTATAGGTATCCTTGTATGCGCTATGTAAAGAGGTCTGTTGAAACTCATTGCAGAACTCCTTGACGTATCGATAGACAAAATGATACAACAATGCTATTAAACAAATATTTCTCGACTGTATTGGAGATATTTACCGATATTCTAGGTCGAGAATTTTGTTATTTATAGTCTCATTATTTTATGTACGAAATCTATAAACCTTTTTGCGCCCTAATTTGAACCTTAAATTTAAAACCTAGTCTTCAAACATTAAACAAAAACATAAGCTAATTTAGTAGAAAAATAAAACTTTAACCAAATTTCATACGAGCACCAATATAATGACGGTATGCCGTCATCAGTACGATTGATCAATCAGCAAGTTGGTAGTGAACTGAATTGGTTCAGTGAAGCGCATTGAGGGCAATTATTCGTTATGTCGCCCTTTGAAGGACGCGTGCCTGGGACAATTCAGCTGCCATTTATCTTCATCAAAGTATTCGCCATAATTACATTAGTAGCATAATGATAATTTCAACTTGCTATAATATAATAGAGGGTGAATTCAGGGAAAATGTGTGTTGTGAATGAAGTGTATGAATAAACGATAAAGTTATACTTTTAACGCGGTAAGCTCCGGAACTACTGATTAGAATTGAACAATTAATTTGTGTTTGTTAGTCCATTTATCGAAAATTGCTATAGACTATAAAAAATCACGCTACGATCTGTAGAAGCTGAACTTAACCCTTGGAGAAATATTTTGCATCCTAAACCCTACTTTATTTCCAAGGTGGACATTCTTTATAGATTTTCTACACCTAATCTGCCTAAACAGTATTATTTATTGACTTACATTTGAGAAGTAGAACTTATATTCATGTTTTTCGACGTATCGTTTCGTATTCTCAGATAGGCTGAGTAGCGAAAGACTAATGAAGGACGTGGGCCATTATGCCAAATCTTTACGTTTATAACTTCAGTGACATTTTTTAAACTGAACCTTTATAAAGCTTAGAAAGGCTTTGGACTTAAGCTGGATAAACGCAATGATCTATGATCAATGAGCAACTGAAATAGATTTATAACATTTTTGACTGACTTTATAACATTTTTCCTATTCTGTGATTTAGGGACCAGATAAAACACAGATTTTAGTAAACGTAAAAGTAGGTTTATTTATGTTTACATTACTAGCGGTACTTATAAACAAGTTATGTAAACAGAACCCTTCTAGCGTGTGTGACCAAACTACGATCCCTAAGCCGAGGTGGACAAACATGGAGATTATGGCAAACACCTTAATAATTATTTCGGCTGATGATGATCATGAATATCTACTTTACCAAATTCCTCAGTTTGAGGACTAATACTTATATACCTATATATACATATAATCAAATCATCGCATAACCCCTCACTTCCCGGATGAGAGAGTGTTAGACTCTTACTGACGAATGCCCTTTCCACCTCCTGTTCCAAGCCGGGTCGTGATATAACATTACGCCTTGTCTACAACCCAGTCAGGTAAGAGAAAACGAGAACCGTTCGAATTTATGATTTTTTAAATATCGAAAAATGATAACGAAATTATGCTTTAGGAATAGAACATAAGACTGCGTTCGGCAGTTACAAATGGTACAGAACCTACCTACACGATTAAGGAATGATTCAGTTTCTACATAGGTAATTTATTTAAATATTAATAAAATTATCAATAGCAGTTTTCTCTTAGCATTTATTCAAAACAAATGAAACTTTAACCAACAACAAATAAAGTTCTGTTAAGCTTTTCAGACGAGCGTATGTCGCCAATCTAATGGCGCTTAGCAATAAAAATCGGCGCGTGCGCCGTTGACCTGTACAATTAAAAAGCGGTCGTTTGCTTTTAGGATTGTTGCGTTAGTGATCGCGACAGTACACCACACTAAATACTTATTACTTCGCGGCCTAGTTTGTGGCTGAAAATAGAGGCTGACAACATTTTATTTGTGATACTAGAAAGTATTAGGAATGGCCAGATTCTTATTATGATGTATTTATATGGTAAGTAGTAACTTTCTTCAATGCCAATGGACCACCACAGTCGGGGCCCTATAGGGCTGATGTTCAGCCGGGGTTGCGGGTTAAGCGCAATGAGTCACCGCGGCCTCGGCCCAGATCAGGAGAAGGAAGGAAGGAGAAGGGGGGTTTTTAGTCAGTAAGAGTCTGACACTCTCTCTCGCCTAACCCTGGGCGGGAGACTTGATGATGATGATTTGATGATTTTCCCCTGACAAAAAACTTTCTGGAATGCTGGTCGTTGAGTAGAAAACCACAAATTTTAACTAAAAACCGCGGGTTACTCACGTGTCTATCTAGAGAAAAGCTCTATTAGTTTCGAACCACAGAGGGGTGCTTGCTCAGAGTGTCTCACGATAGTTATTATAAAAACACCATAAATGTTATTGGGTTTTTGTATATGAACAGTATGAACAGTCCAACCACCATCTATGTATAAGGACAATGCGTATTTTTTTTCTATGTGTATGGACGTCAAACGAGCATTACCTTATGGCAAGTAATCGTCTATAGACATCCGCAGAGGAGTTACGAGTCAGTTGCCGCTCTTTTGGAGATTAGGGTTTCGGAGATTTAGGAATTGAACTCACTCACACGGCGAAACACAACGCTGTAGTATCATTCGTGCTGAAGTTTGGCTCGTGCTGAAGTTTGGCTCTCTCACACTTATCTCGTATCTTATTTTTCAGCTAAAAGCAATAATCATGACACTATATTTATAGCATAACATTGGCGTCTATTCCAACATTTCTCGGTAGTACACGAGAATAAAACTGAAAAGGTATTTGTACAATATCCTTTAAAACTGAAACAAAAGAACTGCGCTCACAGATAACACAGTGAAATGGTTACTTGCTTGAAACTGTAGCGTTGGGAGTTATAAAGATTTCAGTATAGAGCTCATACCGCGCGTGACTTCAGTGCTTAGCACACGATTTCCTACGAAGCGAGGATATTTCCACTAGAGCACACTTTTAATCTTTTTGCGTCGAGACTTGTTGTTCGAGTGCAAGATAAAAATGAAATTACACATAACGCGACGTCTTTTCATCCGCAAAGGTTAGGAAGGATAGTGATACATGTAATTCAGTATTATCCATGTAATTTTAGGGAGGGGGGAGGGATGTCCGCCTACTGATAACTAAGTACATGACATGTGTTCATTAAGCATCTTCGAAAAAAAAACGCTATTATCAGGCAGTTTAGTCGAGTAAAATTAGCTAAAACAAATTTTTTTTTTACTAGCCTGTATTGTCCCACTGCTGGGCAAAGGCCTCCCCATCTCGCTTCCACACCTCCCGATCCTTCGACCGTGTCCACCAGTCTCGACGATAGGCGTCTAGATCGACACGCCATCTTTTCCGGCAATTATAAATATATAATGTAATAAACCTTTTAGTTGTTTCTATCGCAATTAACTTTCTTAATGTACATCTCCTTCTTTTTAGAATTAACTAGCGAACAGCCCTCTCCACCATTAAAACTGAAAATAAGTTTTTTACACATTTGAAGAGAAAGGTTTCCTTTTCAATCATTCTACCTATTAAAAAAACAGCATAAAGATCAGCATACATATGAGCAGAGAAACCGACTGTGTGTTGTGTGTTGAGTAATAGAATATGTTCTTGTGCATCATTAAGAAGTATCTACCTAGGTGACACTAGGTCTAAATAATCGGCTATAATGAAAAACTTAGCAATTTTTTATAGATATATTATATCAAGTATACTTACTTTATTCCTTGAACAATTGAATCAGAAACGACCAATGGTTGTTGTCCTCTGTGTTCATAGATCTCGGTGCTAACAGGTCATGCGTAGACGCATATTTATTGGTACCCAGGCGGGAGGCTGCGCATTCGTCGCGGCGCGGGCGGGCCGCGCATCCCCCTACCCATCACATAGACAGACTAGGTATGTCACGAATTTTTTTCTGCAAATTTTTGTGTGTTTTTAGTAATCGTGTACCTACTGAACATTTCAAAGATACAAGTAATGTTTTATTGATAACTTTTGTCCCGTAGTTTCACACGCGCATTTCATAGCTTATGTTCATCGGAGATAATATAGCTTTCCAACATTGAAATTTTTTTTTTACATGGGTCGAGTAGTTTCAGAGCTTATTCAATTCAAACAAACAATCAAATCTATAAAATTTTGTACATACATATGTAAATAACTATTGATTGGCCTTTATTTAACTATGGCCCTATGTTTACCCATCACATCAACGTTCAGGTATTTTTATATATGATTTGAACAATTATTAATTTATTACAAATATTGTTATTGAAGTTTTATAAATTTTGAACATTGTACAAACGTACCATGCTACGTAGCTACTTCCACAATTTGTATTTTTTCTGGAAAAAGTCTAAACCTAGAAAGTAAGTTTAGACCGAAGACGGATGGTGGTTTCTCCCATTTATTCGTTTCGTTTTCGTATCACCTTTTATTTGCTCAGACATCAGTGATATTCAGAATAACATTGCAAGACACATATTTTTTATGGGTGCCTGTGATGGGTGCGTACTTACGTAGTGCGTAAAATTTTGTTCATTTTAAAAATATTTGGCTGCTCAAACATTTTTAGCGTTGCTTTAGCGTTTATAAAAGGTAGGCGTTGCATAAATAAAGTAAACTAATTGGTGATTTCAAACTTATAAATAGGCATACCTAAATAATAATATGGAGCTTTTTACCATGTATGTACTCCTTTACCGTATTTCAGTTGTGTCTAAATAATGTAAAAAGTACATGTAACTCGGAAAATTCATATTGGAACTTGTCAGGTTTTATTTTACTTAATTATACTTACCGTACCGTGTAAGTCGTGGTGGCCCGGATGTTTAAGCCTTTAAGCGTCCGCTTCTCATGCATGAGGAAACCTGGCAAGTAAGTACCAATGTGACTTTTT